AAAAAAAAAAAAAAAAAAAAAAAAAAAAAAAGACTAGACACAGCATGTCATTCTTTTTGGCTCAACACTGAAGTGATCTTACGTTCCCGTATTTGTAAGGCTGAATTTAAACAAGSCCCTTCATTCTGGAGCTAATAGACAGAAAATCTGAAACAGCTGCAGAGTGATGTGTGTCTCTTTTAAATGAAACCAGAGAGCGTTGACAGAGAGGAGAAGGCAGAAACGACTCAGCCTGGAACTGAAAATGTGGATGGAGAACAGTTTAGCTTGTTAGTTTGCCGCGCTAGCGCCGAGCTAATACATATAAGGCAATATAGCATCAACAATAAAGCTAAAGCTAACAGGCTAAAGGTTCCTGCATACTCCCTCCGAACTGCCGAAATGGGTTCAGTTTGTCGCAGTTTCATGACAAAAATTGTGTCATTCTGTTCGCATTACCAACATTTCGGCAGCTTCTCGACACAACGCGCAGGTAAAACTTTTTACCCCCTCCACGTAATAACTTATTTTGTGATTGGTCAGAAGTTTGTGGGAGTGTTTGTTTATGCTGAAAGAGCTCAGAAGCTGCATTTTGTTCAAAAAAAAAAAAAAAAAAAGCGACTCGCTTCATGAGCCGACTGTTGTACCAAGAAGCAGCGATTTATAAAGATAGTCAAACGGCCAAAAACTCGTGGATGGAGATAAAATAAGTATTTTGCATGGTGGAATCTGACTGATAAAAACTTTGGAGCTTTAACCGTGACAGATATGTGAGTAAACAACATCGGGTGACAAGTCTCTGACTTTTTTCCCGCACCTTTGTGGACTTCAGCAGGAGGAACCCCCCCTGCAGTGACGTATGCTGCAGCGGGAGAGGTTTCTTCAGGAGCTCGGGGCGGGGTGTTCCAGGGACTATGAAAGCTGTTTCCATCAGATTTTAATTCGAATTTTGAGCGAATTTTTAAAAATCYGCAAAAATGTAAAAAYGAAGAAATCAGACGTGTTTCCATCAACTGGTTTGAAACTAATCAGTTACGTCAGACACACRCGTGTAGTAAACAGGAAGTAAAAGTTGCATCTCAGGAAAATGGAGAGAAGTTATCAGGAATGTGTTGCTTCTGTCAGGAAAGTTGTAATTATTCTGTCATATCAACAAGTTTGGCGATTTTACATTCGGTCAGGAGACGTAGAGGAAGTAACGCAATTCTTTTCACATTGTGGGATTAATTGAGAATACACCGACAGCAGGAGGAGGGTCCAGCTGCAGTCACTCTGGTACCGGACCAGTTTCAGACAGACCGCGGGAACAGCTGATCAACATGTGAGGTAAATGTTCACTACGTCAGAACTGATTCGAAAAATGTGTTTCCATCTCCTTTTTGCGCATCAACTCTTTTTAAAAAAAAACCCAAAAACCACCTCAAGCGAGCGTATCAACTTGGATGCAAATTAGAGGACGTTTTTTCGAATCAAGCCGTTTCCATTCACCTTTTCTGGTGCTATACTTCAAAATGTGCATTAAAAACCTTGATGGAAACAGGGTTTATAAAGGTGTGTGCGAAAACAAACACCGAAAAACCACGTGACTGCGCATCGACTGTTTGGCTTCGGTATTTTTAGCTATTTTTATTCTTAAATAATTTATGAGGTCTCCATGTCAGCTTTTCATCTCTAATGATGACACCCAAAAATGTCACCTCACTGACTCTACAAATCTCAACACCATCAACTCTGAATGAAATATTGATAGTTTTCTTTTTATTACTAAATATAATGTAATTGGTTTTATCTAAATTTAATGATAATTTATGAGTTGAAACCAGGTTTGCATTTTCATAAATTCCTGATGCCATATTTGTTCAGCTTTTCAAGGAGAATACTGTGGTTAATATCAAAAATCAAAAATCAGTAGGTCCTCTGGATGGTTCTTCTTTAGTGAAACGTTTCGTCTCTACTCCAACAGACTTCTTCAGTCTGGTGAGTTTCAGGTGAAACTCAGCCTTATAAGCTCCGCCTCCACATGGACAAACAGGTTAGTCACATGTAAAAGAGGACCATCACCTAACAATAGGCTTGATTAGTTCTATTGTTCATAGAGGGTCATGTGACCCATCACCTGACCCGTGTCGTGTTGTGTGAATGTAGTTGTAGTGGTCACCCAGGTGTGGACTAACCGTTCCACCTGTCTTTGACACTGACCTCTGAAGGCCTCCTTTAAAGAGCAGAACTCTGTTCAAATTATAGTCATAACATGTTTTCTTAAACAGTAGAGAAACATTTTATTTCATATTATTTTCTTTAAGATAATAAACAAAATTATAATGTTCTTTATATGTTTGATTTATATTTTTCTTAACTAAGTTATCATTTTATAAATCAGTTA